GTTTTGATTTGTATTTGCTTTTAACATAGAGAGGATCTAGAAGTTTTGAGAATAAGTCCTAATCCATGAAAGTTTCTGTTTTTATGAATCTGTAATCAGAATACATGTCATGAAAACAAAAAAATCTAAGTTAATTTGCAGATTGCAGAGAGATATATTTGTTTTGTCTCTGTCACTCATGAATTTATTTAATATTTATCAATTCCAATAAAATCACTAGGCTAACAAATTCCGTTAGATATATTTAGTGGACATACACCATCAATTATTTATAATCAGTATAAGATGATGTTGCGAAAAAAAAAAGACTAAACATAAGTCTTTTTAGCTTATATATCTATAGCAATGTCACATTTTGGGGAAAATGTGCGAGCGATCACAAAAGTTGAAGGTAAAAAACGAAAACCTGACCAAAGTTGAAGGACTGAGCTCAAAATTTTTATAATTTTTAACGGACTGATTTCAAATGAAACGACGACGTAACACCCCATTTAAAAAAACAGAGGAGTAACTACAAGAGACCTCTAAAAGAAAAGATTATAAGCTGCCCGAATCAGCAATAAACGCTCTCTAATTCAGGTCCCGATGTAGCCGCCGCGGTCGACATCTCCTCAGATCGCTTCGAACGGCGATCTGCGTCGCTCGTCCTGCACTAGAATGTCGTTTCCATTGCTACTTGCCGATGTGCTTCTTCACCGGAGAGGCCCAATCCACCGATCTCCTCCCCTCCTTCGCCCCTTGATGGCTTTAGTGAAGCCCGTGGCTCTTCTCCGACCTGTATTCTCCGCATCTCCCTCTCGTCATTTCGAGAGCTCGGAGGTTACTCAGGCGAGGCCATCTCCTCCACCTGAGCCGCCTGATCCGCCAGACCCGAACCCTGCAACGTCGCGCGTGCTCAGCCCCTCCACCTTCCACCACCGCCTAGCTAAACTGTCAACCTTCCTAGATCTATACGGCACGAGATCTAGCTACGGTCCACGGTGCAACAATGGCGATACGCTTTGGAGGAAATACATTTTTTTCTCCGAATGAAATTAATCCACCAATGGAAAATTGACATTTTTCGAGTCTCGATTCTCGTAAAAGTGGATATCAGAAGCATGTCAAAGTTAAGAATTCAAAATATAGTTGATATTGAAAATGGAAGAATAAGACGTTATTGGGATTCTTACCAATGTTATAGATTATCATATTGGGGATATGTAAAATCAAGTAGAATATCCTTCTCTTTTGGAGGACCGGATGAAAATTGTGGTATTTTTTTTTTTTTTGGCATCTGAATTTCACTTATATATATCATGACTTTCAAAGAGCTCCACTTACAACAAAGGCACTCATCACACAAGAAGAGGCTCGTGACCAACAAGTGGAACTAGCTGGTCTAAACAACAACCTTCCCACAAGTATTTACACCAAAAAATGAAGAGAGCCAAAAGAGAAGATTAAACACTCTCATTCTCAAAAACTAACCGCAACCAAGAAGGAAAACTAACAGCAACATAAAAATGAATTCTTGCCTCCCTTGTCACACTTTGAACAATGAGAGTTGATCCTCTATTCGCACTCTTTTCTCCAAAAAGAATTTCCAAAAACTTACCTTCTCTAAGGCCTTATGGATCTCTGCTGCCTGAAAGGAGAAGGAAGGCCACGCAATTGGTCTCATCGCGGCTCTAACCAATTCTGGGAATTCCACACCAAAGATCACCCTGGAAATTGTGGAAATTGTGGTATTTAATAATTGATATTATGTATTGACTAAAATTATATCAAATTTGAAAAATAAATAAAGTTGACCAAAGTAGTGGTCTTAAATAAACCACCTAAAGAGATTGGAGAAAGTAATTTTTTTTTTAAAAGTGGTTTCGGAACTTTTAAGTAGGTTTGGACTGATATCCGAAAAAATGTAGTATTTGTAATTCGATTTGTTTTTGACGGATATCTAATTTTCTGATTTGTTTTATTTTGGAAAATTTTGGATATCCGAGATTACGGATATCCGGATTTTTTTCAGGATATTTGAGGATATCCGGATCTTCACGGATATCTGTTTTAAACAAAAAAAAAACATTAAAACACCATAATCTTTTTTTCAAAACAAAAATTTTAATATAAAATTTAAACTTATTAATGAATAAATATATAAAATGGGTCTAATTATATTTGATAGAATTAAAAATTTAAAAAGTGAAAAATTAAAACAGCAAAAAATAAAATATATATTTTATGTAAGAAGTATATTTCAACTAAAGTTAGTATCTACCTATTTTACTATATATACTCGCTAAATCTATTTAAAAGTAAAAAAAATATAAATATATGTTATAAATCTACCATATTATATGTATATATAAATAGTATACGGATCAGATCGGATATTCGGATTTTTTAAACTAGTATTTGTGATTTGTTTCAGTTTAAACGGATACTAAATTTTACTATTTGCTTCGCTTTGATTCCAAACGGATATCCGAATTTTTCGGATCGAATCAAAACGAATAGCGAATCGGATCAAATTTAACGGATAATTTGCCCAGCCCTACTTTTGAGTTGAATTGGTAGATATATGGTTTACTTACACAGTGTGGGTTTAGCTAAATACCACAATTTACCAGACCATGGACCCATAGCAAGAACCACCGAGTCAATATCAATAACTCGCCCACCTTCAAGCAAAACCGAGTCAACTCGTCCTAATTCCACTCTCACCGAGTCGTGAGTGGTCTATAGCCATACGATTCGACGCCGTTTAGCTCCTCAGCGAGAGATCTATGGAGATTAAAGCTCGCGCGTGCTAATGACGAAACTGGGCTTCCATCACCCACGTGCTTTACCGGAAGCGGCGCAGGCTACGGCTGATTTCTCGACTAGTGCAGACGCCGATTACGCCTCCGCCGCATACAACGATTCTCTTTGTGGTTTCTCCGTCGTTTATGTTCTTCTTTGTCGCCATTGCTTCCGATGTGTAGTCCACACGTTTCGGTGATTATTATTTATTGGGCCTAATTTCTTGTTAACTCCTATGATGCTTGCTCGTAAAACGTGATTCCATGCATTACATTTCAATTATTATAACATGTTTAAAGTTGTTAACTTTGAGTTCATGAATATGATCAAATTTGCATCTCATATCGTACGCTTACGAGAATTATTAG